TTCTAAATTATTTTTGTTTGGTAATGGAATAATTAGATTTAGATCTGCTGTCACATAGTTTCTCGGAATTTTAATACAAATTATAATAGTGTCATTTTTGTATATTAATAAACCCATTCTGGCTAACTTTAATTTATAGAAGTCAATTTTGAAATATTCAATCTCTTGTTTACTTAATATATTCGGAAATAAGATATTGTATTTGGCAGACGCCACATTATTTTGTATTTGATCGATTTTTTTTCCAATAAACTCGATTTTATACAAAGCTTCATAAAACAGTGTTTGTTCTCTTATTTCTGTATTTATGTGACTTAAAGAATTCAAGATGTTAATCCTGTAATCTTCCACAATTTTCTTTAAAGTGTTAATGGATTTGTTAAAACTACTGTTTATTATTATTTGTCTACTTGAATTTTCAATAAGGTTATGATTATTTTCATTGTTTACTTTTAAGAACTCTTCGATTTCCTGTCTATCTGAGTCGTCCAACAAGCCAAACAACCATTTATATATGGAACCAATGCCATTAACCAATCCCCTTGCTTGCCTTGACCTATGAATTTCTCCCTTAGTAATAGATTTAATTTTTGCTTCAACATGATCTAATTCTGTGAGAAGGATTTCCTCTTTATCCTTTTTTATATTCATCAACTTTATATTATTACTAAAAATTTTCAAAATTCTTTGGATCTCTTTAGGTTTTACTATGTGCAGAATTGTATTCGTTTCGTTTTCAATTTCGACCGTCCCTAATTGTATAATTGTATAGCCCATCTCATCTGGTATTGAGTTGACTGTCATAAGTCCTTGGACTGTTGTTATGATCATCATGATAGTAAAGATTAATGTGAATTTAATTATCTGTAAATTTAGAGGGTCTTTTAATGTTTGATGTGTGAACTTTTTTTAGTATTCTTTTTATAAATTTAGGTTCTTCTTTATGTCTAACGTTCCTGTAATTCTTTATAAAACCTTCTTCCCTGTTTTCTAAATAGTTTTCTCGGTTTTGGTTTTGCTTAAAAATTGTTCTGTTTTTCATTTGATGTATTCTTTCTTTAATGATACTATGTTCCACCTTATTGTTTTGAACTTCTAATGGTGAAGTTTTTATAGTGCTATGATAAAAATTATTGTAAAATCTAACGGCATTACACATTTGAGAAGCGATGGGACGTTTTTGTTCTAAACTTAATGTTCTAATCCGTTCAGTAATGGTATTATTTAATCTTTCAATATCAGAGTTCCCTGTATGGCTATTCGGTTTGGTAACATGATACTCTATACCTTCTGCAGTTAAAAAATCTCGCACATTTCTTGAGTTGAACTCATTGTCAAAGACAAACTTTTTTATGTGTCCCTTAATGGCTAAAAATTCATTTATCTTCCCGATTATCGTTTGATTATTTCTATCTGGTAAATGAAAATGTACAACATGTTTTGAAAACTTGTCTATAAACACTACAAATGATACTTTACTATTGACATAAGTATCTACATGAACAACTTCATTGATCGTATTTGGTGTTTCCGCTATTTGAAATTTAGTTTGTATTGGATTACGATCATATTTTCCACCATTGCATATATCGCAATTGTTAATTATTTCATGTATTTTTATTTTTAGTTGCGGATGATAGATTTTGTGTTTTATTCCCTCATATGTCGGTATAATTCCTGAATGTCCGACTTGAAGTTTGTGAAATAATGATATTTGTGTTCAAATTTAAATAAATTTTCTCAACATTCTTATCTTAAGGAAAACTCTGCGGCCTTTACTATTTAGCTATTTTATATTTAGGCATGATAAAATTGGTTTTTTAATGTATCCGTGCACATTAGCAGTGGTGGTTGTTTAAATTGCTTATCATTCATGTAAGCAAAATACCACCAACGCACAAGAAGATAACAATTACTTGATTATTTAGGATAGAGTATTATCTTGTCTGCTCAAATTGCTTATTTACGCATGCTCAAATTACTTGTGTATTTAGGATAGAATATTTTCTTTGTTTATTTTATGATCAAATATTTTGTACCTTCAATTTGAGAGATAAACCAATATCATGCATTTAGTGATAAGGATAGATTTTAAGTTACTATATAAGCAGTTCATTTTTAAAAATAAATTTAGTGTCTTACAAACATTCAATGCGTATTAAATTTTTACTACGGGGTAATTTTTTAATATTTTTGGTCCTTCGAGCTTTTTTGTATCCACCACCAGTGGTAAGATACTTAAGGTATTAGAATCAGTGAATAAGCGTATCTGTGGCTTAGACAACAGACAAGTGTTTAAATTTGTGAAAAAGCGTATCTGTGGCTTAGACAACAGGCAAGTGTTTAAATTTGTGAAAAGCGTATCTGTGGCTTAAACAACAGATTATATATTTATAGCTGCTACTTCCAGTTTGATAAAATCCGTCGAATTTATTAAGCGTGCCTGTGGCTTGAACAGCAGGTTAAAATATTAAACGGTTATATCGGACGCGTTTATAAAAAAAAAAACGGTTAAAATGCCTATATCCAGAAGTGCCGCTGAAAAGCAGTTTGATCGGCTCAAAGATATAGCATATACTTTACAAATAAAAGAGAAGGAAGTTGACGTCCAGGAGATGTCGTCAAAAGACATTAAGAAAAACAAAAAATGGTTAAAAGATACATGGCATTTATACGCAGAGACATTTGAATCTGTATGCGAAACATCTTATAAGGAAAATTCTCAATTTAAAGAAACAGATAAAGTTGCTTCAGAAGCATACAAGAAGATGCAAAAAATATTAGATGATTTTGAACAGCTTGCAAAGCAAGAAATGTCTTCACCTACAGAGTTAGTAGAGGAAACGGAAGATAAAAATGCAGAAAGCACATATGCAGATACGCCAACTTCTGTGGATGGAAAGGCAGGTAATATAGATTCGGGCAGAAAAACAAAACAACAGTCTCCAGGCAATGAAAGTGTAATTATACTGAATCGCAAAGAGTCAAATGAAAAACCTAAAAAGATTATAATGCGTTTTCAACAAAGAATTGGTTTGTTGAAAGAAAAAATAAGAAACATTAAGGGAAAACTGCCGGAAGCAACTAAAGGGTTGCTTGATACGAACCGAGCCAATATTGAAGCTCAGTTTAAAGACATCACAGTATTATACAACAAAATTTGCGATGAAGATTATGATGACGAAGAGATAGAAGGAACCTTCATACTGATGCGAGCCAGTTATGAAGAAATCTTAGAAGAAATTGCGATAAAATATGACGAGAATATAGCGACTGAACACTGCAATCCAACTCGTTTAGAAGACTTAAGACTGCCAAATTTTAATGGAACTGTAGACAATTGGAACTCTTTCCAAGAAATATTCTCAAAACTAGTAGATGGTAACAAGATGCTATCTAATGTTGAGAAATTTTATCGACTGAAAAACGCCATAAAAGGGGATGCTGCACGGCTAATTCAACATCTTCAAGTAACAGGAGAAAACTACAATGCAGCATGGACAATATTAGAGCATAGGTATAATAACAGAAGGCTATTGTTTTGTACGCTATTTGATAGAATCATTGATCATAGCAGCGTTAATATACAAAATGCTGCAAGTATTAAATAGTTGCTGGATACTGCAACAGAATCATATCAAGCTATAAAAGCTATGGGAATACCAATTGAGGATGCAGATCCATTTATAGCAAGAATTCTCATACGAAAACTGGATAAAGAAGGTTTGCTGAGGTATGAACAATGCGTTCAAAAAACAAAAGAAATTCAAACAGTAAAAGATGTTATGACATTTTTAGAGCAACAATATTTAGCTCTCGAATCGGTTGGCTGCAAAAAAGGAAATATTACAGACAAAAAAATAAAATCGACAAATGTGTTTCAAATTTCACAAAAACAATGTATGTTTTGTAACACAGTAGGTCACTCTGTTATTGAATGCCGGAAGTTTACTCAGCTATCGGTTAGTGATAAAAACTCCTGGATTAATAAAACAAAGTTATGTAAAATATGTTTTACACACAAAAATGACAAGAAATGCTATAAGCTAGATAAAAAGTGTGAGCAATGTGGAGGACAGCATCACAGTATGCTACACTTTCAGAGAATTGTGCAAAATAAACCACAAACTAGTGCTGGTGCAGCTGCAAGCATGATTACCAAAGAAAATAGTGCAATCACTTTATTAGCAACAGCACAGATTCAAGCGGATTCTGCAAGTGGTGAAAAGGTTTTGTTAAGAGCGCTGCTAGATCAAGGTTCACAGAGGACATCAATTTCAGAGGAAGCAGCACAAATATTAAGGTTACATAGAACTAAATCAAGAACGGATCTGATTGGATTAGGAAATACATTAGTAGGAATATCAAAATCAACAGTAGAACTCGTAATTCGTCCAAGATTTAAAAGCAATAACAGTTACAAAATTAAAGCTATGGTTCTTAGCAAGCTAACATCAGCACAACCTAATAATTCGTTTAATGAAGATTTAAAAAAATGGGATAATTATTGTTTAGCTGATCCTATGTTTAATAAATCTGACCGGATAGATATAGTGCTGGGAGCAGATATCCTTACCGAGATATTGCAGCCGGGTTTGAGAAAATGGGGTAAAATCTTAGGTCAAGAAACTTCCCTTGGTTGGATATTATCTGGAGTTATCAACACAAACAATACAGTCAAAACTATAATATCAGCAGTTACTTCAAACATTGAGAGATTTTGGGAAATTGAAGAAGTTTGTGAAGCATCTGAAATAAATGAAACTGATAAAGAATGTGAAAATTGGTTTAAATCAACAACAACGCTAAATAAGGAAAACAGATTTATCGTAAAATTACCATTTAAAAAAGAAAACGAACTAGGAGACTCTAGGAAAATGGCTATGGCCAGGCTTTTGTGTTTGGAAAAAAGATTTAAAAGAAACTCTAAGCTAAAAAAAGAATATATCAAGTTCATGAAGGAATATATGGAAATGGGTCACATGCAGAAAGTTTCTTAAATGATATTTGGTAAATTTTATATGCCTCATCAAGCTGTAATAAGAGATGACCACTCAACAACAAAAGTTCGGGTAGTATTTGATGCTTCAGCAAAAACTACTAACGGAAAAAGCTTGAATGAAATACTACACACTGGACCTAAGCTACAGTTGGACATATTTCAGCTACTAATCAAGTGGAGATTGTGGAAGTACGTTATGACAGCTGATATAGAAAAAATGTATCGGCAGGTGTTGGTAGCAGAAGAAGATCAGCCGTACCAAACTATCCTATGGCGTGAAGATCCAGAAAAACCAATAGAAGAATTTGTACTGAAAACAGTAACCTACGGAACTTCTTGTGCACCGTTCTTGGCAAAAAGAGCTCTACTAGAAGTTGCTTATGATTGTGCAGATAAAAACTCAAAGTTATATCAGATAATAAAAAATGATTTCTATATGGACGATTTGATGACAGGTGCGGACTCCATAAAGGAATGTATAAACATTCAATTTGAAATCAGTCGGCAGCTAGAAAAGTTTGGATTTCATTTGCGAAAATGGATGGCAAACGAAAAGCGAATTTTAGGTGAAATTTCGGACTCTGGAGACAGTTATATTATTAAAGTAGAAGACGGAGAAGCTGTTAAGACGCTCGGTATACAATGGGTGCCGAAATCAGACAATTTCACCTTTTACATCGAGTCAGTAGATAGTACTAACATAACTAAACGCAAGGCACTGTCTATATTGGCTCGAATCTATGATCCACTTGGATGGTTGACACCAACAACAACAATGGCGAAATTATTTATACAAAAATTATGGCTTATGAACTTGACGTGGGATACGAAGTTAGACGTTAAATTATCTCACGAATGGAATGCGATTGTTTCAAGGATTTCGACTATTAAGGATATAAGAATTCCTAGATGGATATCAACTTTAGCTGAAACAAGTTTAGAGCTTCATGGATTTGCGGACGCTTCAGAGAAGGCTTATGCAGCAGTAGTTTATGCTAAAACTTCTAATGCTATTACTATTCTAGCAGCAAAGTCTAAAGTAAATCCGATAAAAAACAAAAAGACATTACCCAAGCTTGAGTTATGTGGAGCTCATCTGTTAGGAAAACTTATGAAAAGCATTAAAGAAGTTATAAACAGAGAAGTCAAAATATATGCTTGGAGCGATTCAACAATAGCATTATCATGGATCAAGAACGAAAATAAAACTAAAGATAAATTTATTGGGACTCGTGTAAGAGAAATCAAGCAATGCATGCCTTCGGCAACGTGGAATCATGTTAGGTCAGAAGATAATCCAGCGGATGTGGCTTCAAGGGGCTTGAAACCAGAAAAACTTGCAGCACATAGATTATGGTGGAATGGTCCTACATGGTTAAAAGATGAATCAAACTGGCCAACAGCAACTGAATCTGTTCTTTGTGCAACAAATAATATAAACTCTTCACAGAATATAATCAACGATATAATAGAACGGTATTCCAATTATAGGAAATTATTATACGTCATTGCATATATAAGCAGATTCATCAGAAAGCTAAAAAAGGAGAAGTTTCCTGTGTGGTTGACAGTAGAAGAATTAAGGGAGGCAGAAAATATTATAATACGGCATACTCAACATTTATATTTCACAAAAGAAATCAACTTGATCAAAAACAGAAGAGAACTTCCATCTGGTTATAAAATTTGTAGTCTTTACCCGTTTCTGGATAAAAATGAAATACTGCGAGTCAGAGGCCGGTTAGAAAATTCTCCATTCTCTTTTGCTAGAAAACATCCAATACTATTACCAAAATGTCACTTAACGATGCTAATAGTTGATGATTATCATAAAACTACACTACATGGCGGTATAAAACTAATGGAAAATATGCTGAGGCGGCAATATTGGATAATTAATGCTAGAAATATTATTAAAAGGTATGTTCGAAGTTGTGTTAGATGTATACGATATAGGCGTGAAACCGCTACACAGTTAATGGGGAACCTACCGGAAAGCAGAGTGTCAATATCGAAGCCATTTGAGCATGCAGGAATAGATTATGCAGAACCGTACAAATGAGAGTATCGAAAGGAAGAGGTCAGAAATCATATAAAGGTTATATAGCCGTTTTTATTTGTATGGCTACGAAAGCAATCCATTTAGAAGCTGTAAGTGACCTGTCAACAGACGCGTTTCTGGCTGCCCTTAGAAGATTTTTCGGTAGAAGAGGCAAAAGTTCGCATTTATATTCAGATAATGGTACAAATTTTGTCGGTGCTGCTAAGAAAATAGATGATGAATATGAAAAAGCTATTAGAAAACTTTCATCACTTGCTGGAACGATGGCAGCGGAAAAAATTACATGGCATTTTATTCCCCCGGGAGGTCCTCACTTTGGAGGAATCTGGGAGGCTGCAGTCAAGTCGATGAAACATCATTTAAGACGAGTCATTGGTGAAGTGAAATTAACTTATGAAGAAATGTCGACACTGTTAATTCAAGTGGAAGCAGTGTTAAATTCTAGACCGTTATGTGAAGTACGAGATGATACAGAGAATACTGATGTTTTAACTCCCTGCCATTTCCTAGTTGGAAGACCTTTAATTGATATTCCAGAGGAAAGTTGTTCAAAATCAATTGATTCTCTTAATCGGTGGAAAATAATTCAGAAAATAAAAAGTGATTTCTGGAATAAATGGAAAAATGAATATCTTGCAAGTCTTCAACATCGTCGCAAGTGGAAGCATTCTGCCCCAAATATAGAAAAAGATCAGGTAGTT